ACATACCTCAACTTTATAAAGGCCATATATGACAAGCTCATAGCCAGTATCATTCTCAATGGTGAAAAGTTGAAAGTATTCCCATTAAGATCTGGAACAAGACAAGGATGTCCACTGTCACCACTGCTTTTCAATATAATACTGGAAGTCCTAGCCAGAGCAATAAGACAAGAGAAAGACATACAAGGAATCCAAATAGGGGAGGAAGAAGTAAAACTATCACTATTTTCAAATGATATGATAATATACATAGAGAACCCCCAAAATTCAGTTTAGTAAAGTAGCAGGGTACAAAATCAACACACAAAAAACAGTAGCCTTCCTATACACAAACAATAAACCTGAAGATTTATTGAAACAAATTGTTTCAATTTATTATTATTTCAATTTATTATTGAAACAAAAAAAAATCAAATACTTGGGAATAAACCTAACAAAAGAGGTAAAGGACATATACAAAGAAAACTATAAAACATTGTTAAAAAGAAATAGAAGGAGACACAAAGAAATGGAAAGACATCCCCTGCTCATGGATTGGAAGAATTAACATTATCAAAATGGTCATCCTACCAAAAGCAATTTACAGATTCAATGCTATTCTGATAAAAATTTCAATGACATTCTTCAAAGAAATAGAACAAATATTGATGAAATTCATATGGAGCCAGCAAAAACCCCAAATAGCCAAAGCTCTCCTGAAAAAAAGAGAAGGGAATAGAGGTATCACACTCCCAGACTTCAGACTATACTACAAAGCCATAATAATCAAAACTGCATGGTATTGGAACAAGAATAGACATATGGACCAATGGAACCAAATAGAAAATCCAGAAATAAACCCACAGATTTACAGTCAACTAATATTTGACAAAGGGGCAAAGAAAATTTGTTCAATAAATGGTGCTGGGAAAACTGGGTCACTACATGCAAAAGAATGAAGCTTGACTACTACCTCACACCATGCACAAAAACCAACTCAAAATGGATTAAAGAACTAGGCATAAGAACTATAAAATATATAGAAGGAAATATAGGCAAAACACTACCTGACAGGGCCTCCCCGTGGCGTAGCGGTTGAGTGCTGGGTTGCGAAGCTGCCCGCAGCCTCTGCAGTGCCGGTTCGATCCCTGGCTGCTCCCCGGCCACTGGAGGAGGGTCCCACATGGTGCGCAGACCTCTCCTGCCGCCCGCTGCTCCCCTCAGCAGTGTGCTTCGGTCCTTCTGCCTGCTCTGCTCCCCACTCTGGCTCTGGTGAATTCTCTCACCCTCCCGCGCTTCTGACTGTACCCAGTGCTTGCATAAATAAATAAATAAATCTTTAAAAAAAAAAAACAAAAAACACTACCTGACATACATATCAGTAACATCTTTAAACACACATCACCCAAAGCAGTCATAGTGAAGGCAAAGATGAACAGCTGGGACTACATCAAATTAAAGAGCTTCTTTACAGAAAAAGAGAGAGTAACCAAAACAAAGAGACACCTCACCAATTGGGAGAAAATTTTTGCACACAACACTAATGATAAAGGACTGATCACAAAAATCTGCAAAGAGCTGGCAAGACTCAACAAAAGCAAAGTAAATAACCCAATCAAAAAATGGGCAGAAGAGCTAAAAAGAAACTTCTCCAAAGAGGAAATGCAAATGCCCAATAGGCATATGAAAAAATGTTCAACATCACTTGTAATCAGGGAAATGCAAATCAAAACTACAATGAGAGAGTCTCCCTGGTGGTGCAGGAGGTTGAGCGCCCCACTGTGAAGCTGTCCGAATGCAACCTCTGCAACAAGGGTTCAATCCTGGCCGGCCAGGGAGAATCCCACATGGCACAGCAGACCTCTCCTGTCATGCCCGCTGCTCCCCTCAGCAGTGTATTTCAGTCAATCTGCCTGTTCTGTTCCCCACTCTGTCTCTGGTGAATCCTCTCATCCTCCTGTGCATCTGGCCTGTACCCCGGTTCTTGTATAAATAAATTAATTAATTTAAAAAAAGATTAAAAAAAAAGAAAACCTAAATAAAGGACCAGGAAAAATACTAATTATAATAAAGTAAAAATCAAAATCAACAAGCAACTATAAACCAGAGACACACTAGCAGGGAGGGAGGGGGTGCGGGGAGAAGGGGGGAGGATCAAAATCAGGGGGGTGGGAATAGTATGGGGACAACAACCAAGATGAAAATGCATACATTGTGCAAAAATGAAAAATGATGTAAAAAAATATAAAATAAAATAAACTTTTAAAATTAAAAAAATAAAATTTTAAAAAGTGAGGTTCCCCATGTATAGTTCACTATTTTATCTCTTTGCAATCGGTTGGCATTTCAAGGTATTCTCTGGTGAGTCTGGATTACAAAGCCTGCTATAGAAGCCTCCTCCTTCTACTCTCTCCTTACCTCTACTCTCCAGCATTGTGCCTTGACAGTGCCAAAATTGTTCCCTTTAAGCCTTTACATTTATTTCTCTGTCTGAAACCCTCTGCCTCAAACTTTGGTGTGGCTGGTTTCTTTCTCATCATTCAGACCTCAGCTCAAACGTCACCTCCTAGCAAGGTCCTCCCAGACCACTGAGCACATAACTCTTTTATTTTCCCAGAGCAGGCACTATCTCAAATTATGTGACTATTTACAACTGGTTAATTGCTTATCTCTTCCCATTAAATGTAATTTCTATGAAAGTAGGAATTTTGTATTGTCATCCTCTATCCCTGCAACAGAGCCTAATCACTCAGTGAATGTTTGTAGAAAGAAAATATATACTATTGGGATATTATCAGCACTAAAGAGAAAAGATAGGGAGGAAACTTAAGTGCATTTTAGGAAGTAAAAGAAGCCAATCTGAAGAGGCTCCGTACTGTGTGACTTCTACTATATGACATTCTGGAAAAGACAAAACTATGGAACAAAAAAAAGACAAGACGAAACTATGGAGACAGTTAAAAATAGCAGTTGGCATCAGGAGTTAAGGGGGATGGAGAGATGAATAAATGAAGCACAGGGGATTCTTAAGGCAACTCTGCAAGATATAAAACATTTATTCAAGCCCATAGAATGTACAGCACCAAGCGTGAACTCTAATATAAACTACAGGCTCTGGGTGATAATGATGTGTCAGTATGGGTTCATCAATTGTAGCCAATGTACCACTCTGCTAGGGAATGTTGATAAAGAGAGAGGCTATAAAGAATGGGACAAGGGCTATATGGAAAATCTCTGTAGCGTCCACTCAACTATGTTGTGAACTTAAAACTGCTCTAAAAATATAGTCAAAAGAAGAAAATATACTACCAGAGTTGTCAAAATGGTCTAAGTGTGTGAGCAGAACACTGAGAATGATTTTTCAACTTTAGGATTATCCTGGAAGAGCTGGCGCACAGGAAAGCCTGCACTCAAACTTTAGGCAGGGATTTCCAAATTAAGAGTTCCAGCTCAGGTGAGTCAAATAGGTTTCTTTCTTAAGGGAATGAGTCACTAAGGGTGGATAACATATACATGTTTCTCAGACTAATTTGATCCAGAACCCATTCTTCATGCCATATCTTTATCATTAATGACTCTATGTTCAATTAATGTCAATGGTAACCTGGAAAGCAGCTTTATACAGTCAAAATACTTTTCAGAACGAATGCCACAAATTTAGTTAATTTATCTTATTTGATCATTCCAATCCACTAGTATTTAAGTTCCTAAATTAGTTTTTTGTCTGTCTTATTCACTATTGTACTCCTAATGTCCAGAGCAGTGCCTGGCACATGGTAGGTACTCAATACTTATTTGTTGAATTAATGAATGACCACATTAACGACTTTTATTTTGTCTGCAAGCCCTTCAGTGAAGAGGACGGAGTTTTAGTATGAGTCAATAATACCAAATTCTGACCCACGTGGCTCATATTTCTGGGCTATCTATGTAATCTGTATTCTTGCTGCTGGTTTCCCCAATGCATTTTTTTTTTGGAAGAACAAGTTGGAGGAGTTGGGAAAATGAAGCAGCCTTAGGTACTGATCCCACTCTATTGGTGATAATAACCAACATTTTACTGCAATTTTCTTCCAAAATAAATACATTTGGTTTTCAAAATAACCCTTTGAAGTAGGCATTATTACCTTCACTTTCAGGTACAGAGATAGGCTTAGATAAACTCTCCCAGTATCAATAACCCAGGTGCTATTAGATCAGCCTTGATGTAAACCCTGATCTTACCAAGTCAAAAGTCCATGTTTATTCCATGGCACATGGCTACCTCCCTAGGTGGTTGTGCATGCTGGGGAAGCCACTTCCCCTTTCTGGGCCTCGGTTCCCACATCAGGAAAATGCCCAGGCAATGTCTTAGATTCCTTCTAATTTCAAACATTTTTTTAATTGTTATACTTTAAAAAGTATTAAAATAATGAGATTTTATTTCTACTAGTAATTGCACAACTATTTCAAAATCTGATTCAGGTGGCTAAAAATGAAATACAATTCGGGGGCAAAAAATCACTTTCTTTTTAAGCAATGCCTAGAAACATAATATCTTGAAAATGAATGACAGGATTTTGTTAAGCAGAGTAACCTCAGAAGCAACTTCATTATATTTTTTTAATTGCCATGAGAAGGTTTTTCTCTGTCCTTGTTTCAAAGCAAAATATGTGAAAGAAAATTCAGCAACTTTTCTAAAAGTGAAGCCAGTTAGAGCAGAGTAACAATAAATAAATCTATTTAATCACCAAATAGCTACATGAACAAACCTTCCCAAAAAAAGAAGGCAAAGCCTAGTCTTTAGTTTATTATTGACCTGGTGGATTTGCTTTGTATGCAAAAATTTGTATTATTCATATACCCTTGTCTGTCTCAATAAGGCAATTAAACTGTTACTGAGCCACACAGCTGACAGAGCAAGTTATATGTGTTTCTTCTTCACAGAGCATTTTTCGTCTCAAACTTTTATTAGAGAATAAAAGAAAAATGCCTTCACAATGTCACATGAAAAAATATTACACAGAAAAAGCTGTATTTGCACATCCTTTTTGGGTTTTATTTTGCTAGAAAGTAAAATTCACACGTGCCCCCCCCCAAAAAAAACACGCAAGATATTTTTATACACACCTCTAACATGCTACATTCCACTTCTGACATCTGAAAATTAAAAAAAGAAACAAAGCAAAAGTATCTGCATTGAAAAGTTAACATTATAAAAAGCTAGATTCCTAATACAAACACTGCAGTTATAAGTCACTCCATTGCAAAAAGGTTAATGTTTATAAATGTTAAATAAATGTCGACAGTGAAGAAACAAGAACCATAGATCCAAAATGAATCTCCCCACCATAAACTATTAAAAATTGTGTTTTGTGTTGTAGGACATCCATTAGAGTTAACTTAAATAGCTGCAACCTTAACCATAACACTACACCAGACTGATAAAATGGAGGGACCCATATTCACAACTACCTCCTCTCCTTGCTACCTTTACCATGCTTTTTGCTTGGTTGGTTGGTTGGTTGGTTGGTTGGTGTTTTGGTAAAAAAAAAAACAAAACAGGTCCTCAGAACCTATAATACCCCTGAGGTATAGAAAAACCAGTTCAATAAATGATAATGATGAAGTTCTCCTTTGAGATATTTCACTTTTCATTTTAATAATCATATACTCTTTAATGATTATACATGTGTATGTGCCCATGCACATGTGTATAAACCCTTCAAAAAGATATTTTGGAAACTTAACTCTAGGGAACTTTTTTTCCCTTTTCCTCAAGACCAGTCCCAGATAATTTATCAGATTTTTTTAGAAAACCTGCCTCGAGCCTTTCTGTACAGTCAACTACATCCTTGTTCCTATATATTTGAACTCTTCAAAAACAGCAGAATGCTCTGAAGTTCTTGTTTGCAACTCCTGAAAAATCTCCAGGCACTTGCAGCAAATTTCAAGCTCTGCCTGGTGCTTTATCTTTACTTTCTCACTGCACCTAAGGTAAAGAAGGGCCCTTGGTAGGAGCACATTTATGTCCCTCTTGGTGCTCCCTGGAGGAGGCTGGCTTTGCCTCTGGAAAAAAACACAGGGGCACAGCTAGCTATTTTCTTCTCCCTTGGGGACAAGGGACATGCTCAGGTAGAATGGCAGTCCCCTGGCAACCTCAGTTCTCAGAAGAAAAAATATTCTAATGCATTCCCACAAAATGTTTCAAACGTGCAAAGAGAAAACCTAAAACAGGAGTGAGGCAAGAGTAGCAGTGAGTTGGAGGACTGCCTAGGCACTGTGCTCAGGTGAGAAACATCCACTCAAACTACCTGCTTCACTATCATTTTCAAAGAGCATAATAATAGCACTTCCTAAAAGGGAGAAAGAGACTACCTTTTCCAACCTCTAAGCTAAACTTCTCTATTACCCAACAGCTTTAAATGCTTACTTAACTCGAACTATCACTAATATCTTAAAGAAGTTTGAAGACCCAAGTCTGTTTCAATACATGCTTAAGTAATTGTTCGATCAGTTCAGCGTGCACATTTTCAAAATATTGGCCAAAATGGCAAGTGAGTGTATATCTTATCCTCCTGCAGTCAATATAAATGGCTTGTGTGCAGGGTTTTAAAGGAATATATGTGAAGGATGGGGTTGCTCTGCAGTGAGAGGTCCTGCCAAGCCGTGCATTCATACTGAGGTTGGCAGAAAGTATGGTTCCTCTTCTCCACCTGGAGCTTTGGGTGTGTTTTCAGCCTATTCTGCCATCCTTTTGCAGATGCTGTCTCTCTTCTTTTCCACAGGTCACTAGGTCTGTTGGGGGGAGGGTGCTGAGGAAGACTTTATAAGTGAGCAGTCATGTGATTGGAGTGAAATGCATGCCCAAGACTAGACATTCATACTAATAAATCTCCTAAAGCAAGACAAAGGCAAACACAACCCAGAGTGGTTTCAAAATCTCATCTCACACACAGCAAAGCAAAACTGAAAAAAAAAAAAATTCCACTTTCCCATTACAATTCAAAAAGGAGCTAAGCTTTCTGGGGTTATTGGCTGTTTCAGACTGAAAGAGGGTAGGTGAGGAGCCCATCTCCTAGCTGTCTACAGAGAGCCACAGCCCCTCACAAAGCCCTTTCAGCTGCCCAGCTCCTCCCAGAAGACATCTCTTGGAATTTCTGGGCTCCCTTTAGAATGTTCAAGTCTGTTCAAGGTCTGAAGTCTGATGTGCAGAGGTAGCTCCATGACGCTAGTAATGGAATAACACTTCCTTTTTTGGTGAGGAAAGTCCAATTGGTCTTAGCTAACAAGCTCTCAGCTATGGCTCTAAAAATACCCTGCAGTGAGTACTGTTTGGCACTTTGCTTTGCTTGCCAAGGAGCACCGAAGAACTCACAGAATGCCTCCCATTCTCCACAACTGCTCTGAGCTCTGTCCCTGCTCTGGTGACCTCAGGGAACGGTATCACTTTGGGAAAGTTACCAATTGTTTTTCACTTCTGAGTTCTTGGAATTCTGTCCTAAATGTTTGAAGTACAATTCCAGTCCTGGATGAATGACTAGTTTCATTAAGAATCTTCATTTGGCTTCTAGTCAGAAATAAGCAAATGCAAGATCTGTATGCAGAAGAAAGGACTAAAGTTATACTTCAATAGGACTCTTTTGCTTCCTGCCTTTTCCTTTGCCCCCCAAAAGAAACAGCAGTCTCCTTGAATCCTTTGTTGACAGCAGCAGGAGGGGTCGTGGTCTGACCACAGCAGATGTCCGGGCTCCCTACACATTGATGGCGTGTGCGTGCTTCTTGCACAGGGGTCTGTCCTTCTTGGAGTAGAATGGCTGCCCCTCCAGATTCACATGGCAGACCTGGGGCAGAGAACAGACTCGTGTGAGACAAGGCTCTGTAATCCATAAGACAAGGGGACATGTCAGTCACCCCTTCCAGACAAAGCACTGTCACATGCAGATGGGAGGAAAGGAAGAACCTGTTTCTCCCCAGGACAAGTTTTCAGTGACTAAAGCAGTGTAGCTGGGTTGAACTCTAGAATATTTAAGATTTCCAGAGAGGAACATGGTATAAAACTCAGGTTAATTTAAATTAACAGAACAGAAACTATACATAATGAAGATGACCAATTAATGCTACCTAAGATGTTTAATTCACATGTCAATATTCACAGAGTGTTAAAATATAAAAAATACCATCAGTAAATGAAGAAACAATTCAGAAAAAATGATCCTCACTCACAATTTAAGGAAATATAAAACCTATACCACTAGACACTTACTAAAATAAATAAAACAGAAAATACTCAATGGCTTTTTACCTTTCCCCAATAGTCAAAAAATTATTTAAAAAGTAAAAAGCAAAAGTAATCAATCAAAAGTTAGCAATGTGCACTGGTAAGGTCATGTGCAGCAGCTCAGTCTTCTGGAAGGGGCATGTCAACACTGCAGAAAAGCCATAAAGAGGTGCCTGCTCTGTGCCCCTGCAACACCACGCATGCTGCAGAATTTCATCTTGCAGAAACTATCACACACAATAAGAAAACAGCACATACACAACTAAAAACTGAAAACCACAACAATTTCTCTCAATAGGAAGATGATTAAGTAAATTGCCACTGTGGAAAAAAGAAACATAGCAACTACAGGCAGAAAAATATTACATTTTTAAAAAGACAAAATTATATACACCCAGAGTAACAGCATAAGAGTACAGTTTGAGGATGGAGATATCAGAGGAAATAGTGAGCTAAATACTATTTGTGGAGGCAACTGTGAGTGGTCAAGTGAGGGTCCAGACACTGTATGTACATAATCTCATTTAGGGTTATTTCTCACAAAACCTTTACGGGATGGGTATGACTTTTCCATGTTTCACAGTTGAAACACTGAGGCTGGGCCTCCCCGGTGGTGCAGCAGTTGAGCGCTGGGTTGCGAAGCTGCCCGCAGCCTCTGCCGCGCTGGTTCGATCCATGGCTGCTCCCCGGCCACTGGAGGAGTGTCCCACATGGCGCGCAGACCTCTCCTGCCGCCCGCTGCTCCCCTCAGCAGTGTACTTCGGTCCTTCTGCCTGCTCTGCTCCCCGCTCTGGCTCTGAATTCTCTCACCCTCCTGCGCTTCTGACTGTACCCAGTGCTTGCATAAATAATAAATAAATAAATCTTTAAAAAAAAAAAAAAAAGAAACACTGAGGCTCATAGAGCCCAACTGTCTTGCTTAAGTCACAGACCTAGTAAGTTACAGAGCTGAGGATCTATGTCCAGGGGTGCAAGACTCCAGTCCTCAGCTAATTTTCCCCATGTCCCCAGCAGAGAGGGACTATGTTTGCCTGGGCCTACACACTTGTACATGTAGTCCTCAAAGTTTGTGGACTAGCAATGTGTAGGCTGGCCATAGGTGGGCAATATGACAATGTGTCACTTAGCTGGGTAGTCACATTAACTGGAATAAGCCCCGTCTCAGAGAGGGTACTGAGCATTCCTAATGGGAACGTATTTGGGGGGCACATCCAGGACACTGACATCAGAAGTACAGGTGGTCCCATGTATATGTAGGCCTAAGAGAAAGAAATCATCCTCCCGAGATGAACTTGGATCAGTGAGGATATGTGCCCACTATAAGCAAGCTGGAAAGGAAAGTGGCATCATGGAGGTGTCACCTTCAACCGATAGCCCAGCTGAAGATGTTATACTTGGGGTCACACAGGACTGCCAATTGGTCCCTAAAGACAATGATCTGAAAAGGTGCCTGAAAACATCCCAGGTGGATGCAGTGATATTAAATGTAACCAGGATCTCATGGTGGGGTCCTTAAGCTGCTGACAACTCAAAGACAAGTACAGGAAGGTGGCACCCAAGATCCAACTGGTAAGAATGGGTTTGGGAAGAGATAGGAAAGCACCTCTGGACTGAGTTGGCAAGATGCTGCCAGTGAACATCTGAGGCTGTAGTCAGGATATCTCTGGTCTGGTATCATGCTAGTTGCTTATGAGCACTTGGAGATGAGTCAGGGATCTGAAGAATGTGCAATGAAGAAGGGCCACAGCCTCAATGGGGACTTGTTGATAAGATGGGGCTGAGGGCAAAAACCACCACAGAGAGGTCATGCCTTGAGCCAGGTCTGTGTCTCAGTCCAGAACACTGCATGGGGGATGCAAGATGAAGGAGGCCTCCAGCTTACCCAACACAGGGGCACAGCAGGGAGGGTCCAAACCTTAGACTCTGTGGTAGAGTGGCATCAGGGCCTAACTGGAAAGGAACAGTGGCCATTGACATCAAAGTGGAGGGTAATGATGTAGGTCAGCTACAGCAGACCCTAGGACTGCCCACAAGTCAGACCACAGCCCCTCTCCTCCTGATACCCACACTAGCTGTGAAGGGAAGAAACCACAGACAGAAGAGAGATCGGTAAGGCACTGTTTTCCCACTAAGGTAGGGCTCACATCCTTTCCACTGGAACTCAAGTGCCATGGCCAGCAGGAGCTGAACTCTCACCCTGACCACACTACCTTTCTCAGCTTCGACTTTATAAGCTTGGGACTTGAGAGAGGCTGTGTTGTTCTATTCTTCTATTGTTAGTATATGTCAGCTTTGTTTTCCATTTCAGAGTCTAAATTCCTTGAAAGTGGAGACTTGCTCTGGGATATTTTTGTACTCCCCAAGCTCAAGGACTATTTGGTAAATTGAGTTAAAGTATGCGCTCTCCCTTATAACTCTCATTAGAGATGTGTGTGTGTTGGAGTGCGGGGAACTAAAAAATAAAAGGATGTCCTAGCAGAAAGAAAAAATTCTCTGGAAATTTTAACATCTCAGTAAAAACTATTCAAAATATGCACTAAATTCAAATGAGTTGTGTTAAAATAAATCTGACATGTTGTTTTTCTAATATATATTATATATTCTCTTTGTGTGTACATGTAAATATATGTATTTCCATCGCTTACCATGCCTGTGCATTTCCCAGGACAACAGAATTTTGCTGTTCCTTACAATTTGTGCTCTTCCAAAATCTGATAGGAAAACCACACATTGGCTGGAAGAGCTAGTCCTGATCTTCCTTTCTTGTTATTATTTTTTTAAGTTATAGAAAAGTACATGCTCAATAAAGTGATCTGAAAATTTAAAGTGATGAGAAGAGGACTAAATATATATATATATATAACCCATCAGTTTTCCAATAAAAAGATTCCTTTCCTAACATTAAAACCATGTTTCACTTTGATATATCTTAACGGGGACAGTCCATGTCACCTAGGACTAGTTTAGGGGAAGACATAAGGATTCTCCAAAGGACAGAATCTGCCTGGTTGCTTAAGGCAGATCTTTTGGGCTATGCTCTGACTGCAACATGTTTATAATATCAGCCTGAACAACTCTGAACTTTACTGTTTCTTTTGGTCATTCTGGTCCTTTTGCTGCTGTGACTCTCAGTCAAACATTGCTAGTGTGAAGAAGGAGACCCATGCTGACCTTTGCTTTCATTCCCTTTCCATGTGACACAGACCTCTCATTAGCCTGCCCTCAGAGAACAGGCCTTCTGTCTTCCCTGGACCTTCTCCAAGTCTCTTGGATTCTTCTAGAAGTTGGGTAACCAGACTTGCAGGCAGCATCAGCAAGGATCAGACAAGCCATGGCTTGAATAGAAGGGTCAAAGAACCCTGGATTGTGCCTTGCTGAGCATTGACTCTGCAGGGGACACCCCTAAGCCAGTTCATATTGTCGTCCCTTTTTTGGAGAGGAGGCGCTCATGTATGTAGAGGACCCTAAAAGACAACTAGAAAATCTGCTTAACAAGCTGGAAAATCAGTATTATGGATCTATTGTAGCCTCCAAAAATTTATACATTGAAATCCTAAGCCCTAGTACCTCTAGCCAACTCAACACGGGAACAAAGCAATAACCTTATTTGGGAATAGGATCTTTGCAGATGTAATTAAGACGTAAGTTAAGATGAGGTCATGCTCGAGAAAGGTGGGCGCTTAATCCAATATGACCAATGTCCTTATAAGAAGAGAAGCACACAGACACGCACATACACAGACACGCACGCACAGTAGAATGCCATGAGGAAATGCAGACACACAAGGAAGACAGCCATGTGAGGATGGAGGCAGAGACTAGAGTTAGGTAGCTGTGAGCCAAACAACAAGGCTTGCTGGAAAAACTAGAAACTAGGGGAGAGTGTTTGACCCTGCTGGCACCTTAAACCTCTATCTTCCAGAAGGGTGACAGAGTAAATTTCTGCTGTTTAAAGCTTAGCCCAGTCTATGATACTTTGTCACAGCAGCCCAAGCACACTAATCCAGTGCAGCCCACAAATGATGGTGTACAGAAGTGAAGTGTAAAACCTGAAGTGCACTGCAGTAAACTTTATGACTAAGGTTATTCTATGTCATAAGTCTACAAATTATTCAAATTTAAACCACATGGATATTTCACACATTCCCCACATTTACCTTTGAGCAGTCTGGTTAAAAAAAAAAGGCGGGAGTAGCACACTGATTTGCCCAAATACATTTCAGTCAATTACAGATTCACACTATACAGAGCTTTACCAGGAAAGCTAGACCATTCCCGACTCTAACACAGGGTATAAATATCAGCAGGCTTATTATTGCAAAGGAAAATGCCAATCTTATGGTAAAAATGACTTGGCTGTTCAGCAGAAATAAATTGTACATGGTTAATAGTTAACCCAGGGCTTATCTCTTGCAACTACATATGAAGAACAGGACCATTTAGAAAAATAAAATGAGACTCTGTCCTTCTTTCTAAAGGTTCTATCAAAAGAAACCTTATCTCAGCTTTCTATAAGGTTAGTTAATAAGCTTCCATTTAGTGTTTGTTCATGGTGAAAATTTGAGGGAAAGCCCTAGGATCATTTGACCATATCTAAAACAATATATAACCACAGAAGCCATCACTCCCCACTCCACCCACTTTTAAATCCAAGTATCCTTCACTGTTTCTATAATAGAGCACATCTCTGGCAAAACAAGCTGCAGTTCTGTCAACTTGCTCTCTTGTTCTTAATGAAATGAAATGAAGAATAACAAAAAGACACATTGTTTTGTGAATAATTATTAGTGATAAAGTACAATCATTTGTGACACAGCAAAGCATCATGATATTGACCAGCTTTTAAAAACCATCAGAATATCAGGATTGAAAGAAAAATAGAGGAGGGTCATTTGGCCCATACTGGGTCCCTCCTGTCCCTTCTCAGAAAATCTGAACCCCAGACTAAAAACGTACCGCACAAATGAAGCAGGTATCGTGCCAGGTGTGCCCCAGGGCTTCGATAAACTTGTCACCAGCCTCCACAGGGAAGTCACATCCATGACACTTGGTGCTGAACAGGTTGATGTAGTCTGAAATGAAAGCAGAGTGAGGACCAGGCATTCAGGCAGTCAGGCAAGGGCCACTAGACTCAACACCAGGACAACCTTCAATCACTGGGCCAGGAGCATTGAACCTAACTGGTTACTTGTCATCTTGCAACAAAATACTATTATATGACTGCTTAGTCTTTCCTTTCCCAATAATTTGCATTGTATGGTATGCAGATTCAGGCTTAGTCACCACCCTGTGTTTGTTTGATTTGCAAATATTTTCTGGAACTTTCAACAAGCTGGTTTTCTCCTCTTCTCTGTCACCTCTTACAGCCCAAACAGACCAATCCCCCAAAAGAATTGTACTTCTTAACAGTTATGCTCATTTTGGAAGAGTTATGGCCCTTTACACTTTAAAAAGTTATAGAACGTTCTTTGCTTGGTCATCCTTCTGTCATCCGGCATTTGTGTTGCTAATAAATTTTCACTACCAGAAAGTGTTTGAATTACTTTATTGGAACATATTCCCCTGCAAGAAGATAATCCAACCAAGGAGATAATAATAACTATGTATAATATTTTACAGTTTACCAAGCATTCACACAAAAGTGTTATTATTCACTAGTATCTCAACGTCAAGTTCTGTCTTTAGTTCTCTTTGTACTCCCAGCACAGCTCCTGACACACTCGTGTTAAATGAATGAGTGAATGGATCAATCAATAAATCAATAAATCAATCAGCCTATCTTCACAGAATCCCTCAGAAATTGAACAATAATTGTTTTTCTGTTTGTTTTGTTGATAAGGGAACTGAGGCAAAGAGAGGTGAAGGGTCTAGCTAGGATCACACCCTGAGACACAATGGTCAAGTCCCATGTTTCACTGCACCCACCATAGAACTCTTCCAGATTCTTCTAGAAAAGTTTGATGCGGTTACCAAGCCTTCATTTCCTCTGATGTGTGCTTGTGTGCTCACCACAGCTCTGCAGCTAGCTTTTTCTAACAGGGATCTTTTGCTTAGATAGACTTGTGGGCAATATATATGTTCCCCCATGCTGAGAGGGAGTGTGCTGTGGGGGGTTCTCTCTGAAGAGAGAAAGATCTGGGTTCAAATCCCAGCTCTGTGAGAGGATTGTTCTAACATGGGGTAAGTCATCTAACTTCTTCATGTCTCTATTTCTCTAATGGGAATAACTATAGTATCTAACTCGGGGTTGTACAAATTAACTAAGATAATTTCTGTGAAGTACTTGGCCCAAATACCAAATACATTAGCACTTATTTTGAATAACTTTATAAATACTAAAAGAAGGGAAGGGATTGTTATTTGAGTGCTTACTATGTACCAATCCAGTGTTAGTGCTTTCCTATGTTTCTTGTTTAATCTTAACAGCAATTTGGTGAAGAAATATTATTTCCATTTTATTTATTTTTTTATTTCCATTTTAAATATGAAAGTGGCTATAGAAGTTCCATCTCACAGGTAGTAAGGAGGCTGATGGGCTCCAAAGTTCATCTTCTTTCCATGACTTTATGCTGTCTCCAGTTATCTATTTGCCATTGAGCTTTGATAAGTTATATCTCTTGTATATTTTTTCCAGTGTAAGACTTCCTCTCTTGGATTTAATTATAGTTTGTCATGCAAATCCTTTTATATTTATTGTAGTTCCTAAATCTTGCTGCTGACAAAAAAGCTTAATTTCTTCAGCAGGCAAAAATTTATCACCTCATCAGAGTTAAGAAAACATTATTCTGTTTCTTTTAGAAAGTTTTTCTAAAAGGTTTACAGTTTGCTCTGTGCTCTGTAGGAACTTCCTAGTGTTCTTGGGCTGCAGGCTAACACATCTCCACTTGAGTGCAAGCCCTGCACCCTACTTCTGACTTCTTTCTCACTACCCCCAATCAGTTTCCAGATGCCCTAGGCTCTCTCCTCCACATCCTGACTTGCACTCACCAGGAACTAGACATAGAAAACCTTCCACTTGCTCTACCTCAATCTCTGCTATCCTTTTGCCTTCCTTCTAGGAAGTCCTCATTCCCACCCCAACCAAGAGAGATAACATGGTCTTCCTGAGGTCTTTGCCTGGGATTCTTTCCCATTCATTTATTCACTTACTCACTCTATCCTTATCTCTGTTCATTTCTGTGATGGCATGTCACATGATGACTGGTCTGCTTGAGTCTTTAGGGGCAGAGACTGTCTCCTCTATGCTTATCACCTTTCACAGGAACTGGAGTACATTTGATGGATAAATGATGAATGGGAACAAGAAATTATTTGAAAACCTTATTTAAAAGTGACTCTTCCTGTTGTGCAGTTTATGGTTTTCCACAGATTAAATGCTTACAATGGTTTACATTTATTTCTGGAATGTCTAGTCTGCCTACGGATTGACTTTTTCTGTTTTAAACTTGATTCTGCATGATCTGGAGAACTGCCATTTTGTTTCAAAATTTGATAACACACTTCTGACCCTAATACAGTTTTAAAATCTGACATTTTTCTTCATTTATTGTACAAAAAGCAAATGCATCTGGTACTGAATTAAGTTTGTGCATGGGCCTTTCCCACCAGGAGCATAATCTAGTCCCTCATCTATTTACTCCTTCCTTTATTTCTCATATAATGTCTTTCTAATTTTCTTTGACTAACTCTCTTCTGTGTAAGTTGAATTAATACCCTGTATTTGATGGATTTTATGTTATGTAAAAATCACAGATGCTCTATGTTGAAAAAGGGCTTAATGCTTTCCTACAGCAGGGTTTCTCCAACATTAGAATCATCTGGAGGTTATAAAATATAGATTGAACATCCTACCCCTCAGAGCTTTTGACTCAGTAGAACTGGGTGGGACCTGAAGATTTGTATTTATAACAGGTTCCCAGGTGCTGCTGCTGCTGCCAGTCCAGGGACTACAATTTGATCCCCAAACCTAGTTGACTACGAGAATTACCTGGGTGGGTTGGGGCTCCCCATGGAATTCTGTTTCTGCAAGTCTGGGAATTTATCTGTTATACGTCTTTAAAGTTCCTCCGGTAACTGTGATACCCTGCAGATCTGGGCACTCCTCAGGTGCAGGTCCATCTATAAAGGGATGCACCCCTCGAGTACTCTTACTTGTATGCAAGAAAGCATATATAAAGTCATTTTGTGTCTAGATCCTATCATTATGAAGATTTGATAAGCCTCCCTTCTGTCTTCTTTCAAGTTATTGATAAAAATGATGACAAGGTACCAGAATGAGACATCACCTTACGCTCTCAAAAAAAAAAAAAAAAAAAAAACCCAAAAAACAAAAAACAAAAAACATGAAAATAACAAGTATGGGCCAAGAGAAATTAAAACCTTTGTGCACTGTTGGTGGGATTTTAAAATGATGTAACTACTATGGAAAACAGTGTGAAAGTTCCTGAAAAAATTAAAAAAATAAAACTCTTGTATGATCCAGCATTTCTACTTCTGGGCATATACCCAAAAAATTGGAAATAGGATCTTCAGGAGATATTTTCATACCCATGTTCATGGCAGAACTATTCACAATTGTCAAGAGGTAGAATCAAATGAAATGCCCATCAATGCATGAATGGATAAAGAAAATGTGATAGATACACATGGTGGGATGTTATTCAGCCTCCGAAAAGAAAATCTTATCATATGCTATGAATATGGAAGAACTTTGAGGACATTATCCTAAAGGAAATAAGCCAATCACAAAAGGACAAATAAATGAGGTATTTAAAGTAATCAAATTAATAGAAACAGAGAGAAACTGATAATTGCCAGAGGCTTGGGGAGGGGAAGGAGGAAAAGTATGTTATCAGTACAGAGTTTCAAATTTGCAAGATGAAAAATTCTACATATTTGTGAATATATTTAACTTTATAGAACTGTACACTTAAAAATGGTGAAGATGGTGAATTTTATGTGTTTTTATTTATTTATTTATTTATTTATTTATTTTTAGGATTTATTTATTTATTTATTTATTTATACAAGCACTAGGTACAGTCAGAAGTGCGGGAGGGTGAGAGAATTCACCAGAGCCAGAGCGGGGAGCAGAGCAGGCAGAAGGACCGAAGCACACTGCTAAGGGGAGCAGCGGGCGGCAGGAGAGGTCTGCGCGCCATGTGGGACCCTTGCCCGGTGGCTGGGGATCGAACCGGCGCTGCAGAGGCTGCGGGCAGCTTCGCAAACCAGGGCTCAACTGCTGTGCCACCGGGGAGGCCCTATGTGTTTTTTTTTAGACACACACACACAATGTCAGAACCAAGCACAATGTCCCATGGTATGACAATGGAGATTTTCCTCTACACTGACTCCACTATTTTATATCAGGGGCAGGTTAATTTTACCTGACTTGAATTACTTAGCAGTCCTTTCTTCACCTTGTTTGTAAAAAGATCATTCTTCATTATATTTAACAAGCATACTAAATGTCTAAAATAAAATAAAACATTTTCTCTTTCTAAAATAAAAATTAGATTCACCTTTGCATTTCAGTGACTCCCATTACTTAAGGAAGAAGTTTAAAACTGTGCTCCTTAGAGAGCTTTGGTCTCCTGGCCCATTACAGGAACCACGCTCTGCACATAGCATCTCAGTTAATCCTCACAGCAGTCTCTGCAGGAGGAGGGTTAGGTGAGGAAACAGATTCAGAAAGGGTAAGTATCTTGTCCAAGGTCATACTGGCTGGAAGTGGTCCAAGTGAGGATGACGATTGCTGAAGCTCAACCTGTTTCCCACTGTCTTCTCGTAACATTAGACATCTCCTTCCTGGATCTTCTTACTCAAAGTATTATTAAAAATCTGTTTTAGGGGGGGTTGCTATGGAGAGATGTGCAGTGGTAACAGCAGAAATCTATTGTTCTTTCAGAAACTTCAGACACAACTGTTGCTTATTACAATTATGAAAGCTGTAGTGCTCTTAGTCAACTAATAATAGCAATTTGTGTTGGTACAATAGCACTTCTCTCAATTATCAACTATTTCCAAAGAGAAAAGACAGGTGTTATCTTCTTCATTTTACAGGTATGGAAACTGAGGCACAGAGTGACTAAGTACTTATTTAGAGTCATTCAGTGAATTTCAGAACTGGAAAGAAAATTCACCAGAAACTGGAGAAGTTTCTTTCATAATCTATAGTAAGGAGGAAAAAAAATTTATATTGTTTTGCTTTTCCCTTCAAGGAACTGGAATGGTTGCTCCTTTCTGATTTTAAAATAAACTCCTTGACTGTGTTTCTCTTTTTTGCCCTCAAATTTGCTACGCAGTCACTGCAGCTCTGTTATTCTTCACAATCAGCAGTCCTGTTTTTCCCCTTCTACTTGGTGCTAACTTTCTAGCTCTGCTGTCCTAATGTTCATGTCTATGCGGCCTTTGTTGGAACCTGCCCCAAGCCCTTTACTGAAAGAGGCCTGCTACAAATAAATGAGTGGGTGAGGGAGCGAGTGAGTGGCTAGTTAATCAGGAGGCCCAACTCTCTAATAGAATGCTTTGTCTCCAGAATTTACAATAATTTACTTAATGTTAAGAACAGAGAAACTGAATTCAGACTGGGAGGCTGTGAATGAACGTCAAAGAGTGGTAAACATCACAGAGGGAGGACACAGCACATTCATGGATTGATGCCTTACTCATGTTCTCTGGGTTATTCGCACTACAACTCTGTAAGGCAGGTGTTTATTTCCCCTTTTTGCAGGTGAGGAAAATGAAACTCAGAGAAGTATAGTGACTCATTCAAGGTAACAAAGCCATTCTGAGGTGGAGCCTGGAGCAGAACCTACTGCAATAGAATGAAGTCCAGAGTCAAGGCCTTCTCAGTGGTTTCCAAAGCAAAATCATCTGAGAGGTTCCCCAGGCAGTAACAAGATGCCAACTTGTGAGCCACATATTTGGTGCAGGGAAGGGAACTGAGCTACACATACCCCTCCCCACTCAAGGAAAGCTGCAAACAAATGGGCAGGGTAATAGTTTAATAAGTGTCTTTTGAATAACATGAGCGTGCAATTCTGCCATTGGGAGCCTCCTGAGGGTTCACTATGAATGGACATAGGCGGGAGTTCCTGTGCCTGCACTTTCTCCTAAACTGTGGGGCGACCTCTTGAAGCATAGTGGTCCTACCTTTCTCACAATAGGGCTCCCCATCTTCCATGTGGAAGAGGCTATTCCCAAAGGGCTTCTTGCAGGCTGCACAGATGAAGCAGGTGGTGTGCCAGGTCTGTTTCAGGGCATGCATCACTTCCTGGAGGTAAAGAGACTCAGCTTAGGACAGCAAAGTCCAAGGGAGAGAGGGAGCAGGGTCCCCTCATTTCCACCAGCCCCCCCCCCCGCCCCAGTACCTGGCCACTGCTGGAGCATTGCACCGGACAGCAGGGCAGAGAACCCAGGAAGGAGGGCTTGGACACTCTGAGGAAGAGCCCAAGAAGGTGCAGAGGAGGGAATCCTACTCATGCAATATTGCTGGGTGCAAGGTTCTATGGGTGCTTACAGAGAAGGTTCTATGGGTGCTTACAGAGGCTGGGAGGCTTAACCCTCCCACCAGACCTGGGAGGGAGGTACTGCTTATTACTGCAGGGCATCAAGGGTCAGGGTCACATGGGGGTGACTGGTGAGGTCAGACTGGGAAGTGATAACTTGCTTTGCAGAAACTCTGCCGTCACTTCAAGCTGTGTGGCCCAGGGGTGTAATCATCTCTTGCTTCAGTTGTTTGCTCCCTAGTTCATTAAAGGCAAACCTACCTCTTCTAGGATGGAAATGGAGTTGCTTTCCCTGTTGGCAGCAACTTTCTGGCTTCCTATTGGGGCACTGAAATCTTGGGTAGGGGGAGAAATTGGTGGAGTTTGGAGAAAAGACAAGGGTCTGAGGACAGGAATGCTATCCACTTACCCCCATGATTTTGGTGTTGCACTTGGCACAGATTGGGGCAAAGAACTGCTCGTAACACCGTTCACAGTAAACATTGTTCTGCTCCTCCACAAAGCACATGTCTGCCAGGGAGGTCTTGCAGTAGGCACAGTTGAACTCTTCTGGGTGCCAGGAGCGACCCATGGCTACCAGGAAGGGGCCCCTGGGGAAACAGAGAATAGCACCCACTATGGCAGCCCAAAAAGCTTGAGACCAGGTATTTCAAGACCCCCAACAATAATCATACTTTGATCCAAAAACCATGACTTTTGTGACTCTTCTAACGAAATTATGTAAAATTCAGATAAAGCTCCATGCAGAATCCACTGCAACCATTGAGAAGTGGGAAGCCACTCAAACACCCACCATCTGGGACCAGGTTAGTATATTTCAGAATAGCCATTCAATTGACCACAATAATTATAACAGCCAAAGCAATGCTATGAAGTAAGTACTATTTTGATACCTATTTTCAGATAAGGAAACTGAGGCACAGAAAAGTTAAGTTGTTCAACACTATAGGGCTAGGATGGTAGACCAAGTAGTCTAGTTCCAGATTAGTGGCTGGACTGCTAACAAAAGTGGGATAAGGAAATATTTTATATTTTAATCTTTACTTTCTGGATTGTTCTAATTCCTCTCCAATGAGTTTAATAGTTTTACTTTTAAGTAAAAGTATATTTTTTGGGTTATATATTAGCTTACCCTCCCCAACACACACACACACACACACACACATCGACATACTATATTCAAACAAGCACCACCCACAATCCCTGACTAGTAAATGTGACTAGACATGTTTCCATTTCGGTGTGGCAGATCCCCCCAGACACCTGCACAATAAGGGACCAGTCTATGGAAAGACCCAGAAACAACCCTAAAGGGAAGGTGGGTCAAAACTAGAACTGTTAGTCAGCTTGCAACATGCCCAATAAACCTACTGACAAGACCTGTGATTTCTAGAACCTGGCCTTAGCTCAAGGGGGAGGTCCTGGCACCAGGCAATGCCCTGGGAGCTTCACCCACTTACCTCATGGAATCCTCCTAACTCACCAGGGAAGTGGGTATCTCACTGGTATAGAAGCTAAAGCTCAGAGCGGGTCAGGCCAGATGGTTAGCCCAGAGGGACCTGAGGCTGCCCTGCAATCTGCCTTCTCCCTACACCTGCCCTCCCACATGCCCTGATCCACCACAGGGCTCACGCATCCTGAACCCTCCCCCCACCACCTCCAGCACCCCAGCACAGGGGCACACTGGACTATACCGAATGATGTTGTTGCAGTGACCGCAGAGTGGAGTTCGGCTACTGGCTGGGAAGCGCTCAGCCCTCTGAACAATGCCCCTGGCAAGGGGGGCACCTGTTGGGGTATAGGCCCCTCGAGGCAGAGTCTGCTTGCTGATGGAGGTGGTACCCTTGCCAGGGGCAAACTTCTGAGAGAAGTTGTCATCTGTCACCCATGGTGGGCGGCTAGCAGTCTCCGCAGGGCCCCCACTATAGGCCCCCGAGGGTGGGGGGTTATAACTTGGGGCAGGTGAGGGGGTATAGGTCGGTGCTGGGGAAGGGGAATAGGTGGGGGCAGGAGAGGGGGTATAGGTGGGGGCAGGAGAGGGGGTATAGGCAGGGGCAGGAGAGGGGCTGTAGGTAGGGGCAGGTGAGGGGGTGTAGGCAGGGGCAGGTGAGGGGGCATAGGGAGTTGGACTATAATTGGCGCCGGGGGATGGGCTGTAGGTAGATGCAGGCACTGCAAGTTGAAAAAGAAAAATGTGTTAGGAATTCATTTCCCTTGCCTTTCCCCACCCCAAGCCAGAGAACCGTAAAAGGTGACTTTAATATTAAAGCAGTACAATTCCAATTTTTATGAGAGACGTGCTCTTGGACTTCTTGATGCCTCAGATTAGAATTTGCAGCCGGGAACCAAGTGAGATAAAGAGCAGCAATCAGAGCCGGGGCCCTGGGCAACTCCAACAGGGTTGGGAAAGGGATACAGCTATAAATATCTGCAGCTGAGTTGGGCGGGGCTCAGTCAGGCGGGAGCCCAGAGGCCTGCAGAAGCCAGGCAGTGGAGGGTGGGAGGTGTCGGGCAAGGTATCTGGGTCCCCTGAGCTAGGAAAAGGGTGGATGGGAGTGGGTTAACTTGGCCTTGACTGGAAGATGCTTTCAGTTAGACTCTGACCAGTGATTTGACAATTGAAATGCCTAGTTGCATACTTTTGCTGAAACTGGGCCTAGTCCAGCATACAGGACAAAGCTGATGACAGGGCAGTTGGGCTTTCAGGTTCAAGTTTCAGGTTTAGCGACAATCTTTTCTTGAAGATCTTGGCTTGGTCTGTGTTGGGGAGGAATTCCATCTTGGTTTGATTGGGGTGGGGGGTGAGGGGGCCTTGAAGTACTCCTTCAGAGATGTTGGGTGACAGCCCAACAGCCCAGGTCTAGCCATTCTCTCTGAAGACCCTCCTCCAGCTCACTGAGAGCTGAAATCTCTGTGGGATGACAGCACACAGGAGCATTGGAACTGCTCACTCAGAGCCACCCCCACCCCCCATGCCCCGACCTTCAAACCCCAAGTTTTGAAGTATTCTGCTGTCATGTCCTGCACACATGGTCCCGCTGGCCTCCTTGTCCAGTGAGGAAGGTTCCAGAGCCTCTTTTCAGGTTATAATCTGCTGTTCTGGAAAGAGGCTTCATTTTCCCCACCCCAGGGAAGCATGTCAGGGCAGCCTCCCTCCCCATTCCTGAGCTTTGCCTGGGTGGATGAAGTTTACTGAGGGGTGCTTAGGCAGCTCCCACCAGACTGTGGCCTAGAAAAGATAGTCTTTCTCAGGGCTAAAAGTCTTTCCCACCTGGCTCCCCTGGACCACCCTGGGTGACCTGTGGCCTCCTACTCTCTCTGGCTTCTATTTCCAGATGACTCAGAGCTGAGTAACATGGAACCCCCCCTCACTGGGGGTGGGTAGGGACCATGTCTGTATTACTGAAATATGAAGGTGTAAAAGCCGGGGAGTGATGCTGGCTTCTAAAGATGAAACCCTCTCCATAAGAAATCTTCTTCCCAGTTATTAGGTGGGTAGACTGGGCACATAACAGATCATCTGGGCTAGTGCCCTTTATAGCCGAGGTCACAGAGGCTCAAACAGAGACGGTAAGTGGCAGAACAAGTCACCAACACCATTTTTTCTATCACCCTAAGCTGCCTCTGTAAAGAAAACCAGGCCAGTTCCAGAAAGTGGTGGTATTCCTGTCATTGAGGAGTAACTGTCAACATGGAGGAGACCCCATACTCTGGTGTATAGCACAGCCATCAAGAGCCTCAGGTTTAGGTCACAGGTCTACAACGTCCTGGCTGTGTGTCCTTGGGCAAGTTCCTTAACATTTCTGAGCTTGAATTTCCTTGTCTGCCAATAATTCTTAGTACCTCACTGGGTTATTATGAGGATTAAGGGTGAAAAGAAAAACTTAGTATCATATCTGGCACAGTGTGCATTTCACTAAACGTTAGTGAGGAAGGTGAGGATAATGACACCTTGGTCTTTAAGGCTGGGATAAACTGTCAGCTCACTGTGCAACCTGGTGGTCACCTGGGGGAGTCCAGGCTAGGTAGACTGTGGGATGTGGGGATGGGGTAGGGGCGGGAGATGTGATACCTTGAATTCAGATAACGTTTGACTGAGTCTGCTCACTGGTGGTGAAATGCATGGTGCCCCTCCTGCTTCTCAGGGAATGGTAGGCACCAACCAGAGTGGCATGGTGCATACACTTTGCAAAGGTGTGATGGCCGTATTCAAGGTGTTGTCATTCCCCTTAAGAGCATTACACATCTCCCAATACCTGGAGCAGAGGATCTCAAAACACTGGGGGCAGGGGTGACTTGGAGAATAGCACCAGCGAGGGGGTATGGGAAGAGGTGACCTAGCAGAACTTCAGAGCAGCTTCATCCTTCTCTGTTACATATAATGGATTTCTGCTCAAGATTTTACTTTTTCTGTAAAATGGGGGATCTCCACTAAAAGAGATTAAGAACAAAAGCCCCCTGTGCTGTCCAAACATAACCCTATGTGGGCATGAAGTACTTGAAATGTGAATTGAGAAGTGCTGTGTGAAGCATGCACCAGATTACAAAGATAGTGCAAGAATGTAATATAGCTCATTAGTAACCATTGATTACATATTGAAATGGTATTTTGAATATACTGAGTTAAAATATATTAGATGTCACCTGCTTCTTTTCACTTTAAAAAAAAATGTGTTTACCTGAAAATTTATTTTTATTGGAGTGTTGGCCTAATCAGAATAGTGGCTACCAAGTATGATTGTTTCCACACGCCAGGCCCTTTATGTGCTTTATTTTATGTAATACTCACTGCAACCCACGGAGGCAGATAATATTTTCAAGTCCATTTTACAGGTGAGGAGTAAAGGCTAGGAACTGCCTAGCTGAAATGGGAGCTCAGAAGCTGGATTCAACTAGAGATGCCCTGCTTAACTGCTCCCTAGGCAGCAAAACAGGCTTTTTACCGCGCCCCTTCCAATGTTTAGGGCCCTTGCCCGTTTTTCCTGCCTCCTTTAAGCAAAACTAATATTCCCTCTTCCTGGCAGACATTCCTTTTCCTCCTCCGGAAGGCCTTCCAGACTCCCTGCTCCACCCGGCCTTTCCAAGTCCCCACAACCCGAAGCTCTCAGCAGGTCAGGGGCAGGCAGGCCGGCCGGAGTCTGGACCCTGCGCGTCTGGCTGCTTCCCCGTCCAGGGCTACACCCACCCGGGGAACCTGCCCTTCCTCAGAGCGATTTGGCAATGCCCTGGCTACACCTCGGCCCCCACTCCTGGTGGAGGTAGAAGTCGGGCAGCGGGGAGCAGCTGCTTCAGGCCCGGCTCGCAGCGCCACCCCGACCTGCCAGGGGAGACTCGATATCCCTTCCCCGAGCCCCGGGCTGTTGCTATTTCTGCGTGACGGAATAAAGCCCGTCCAAATTAGAAGGTGATATTTCATCTCTAATTGGCAAGTTCAAAAGGCCCCTATCGCACTCGGCAGCCTCGGAATGTGTAATTAAACTAGGTGATTTCTGACTCATTCCAGGTCGGCCCGGCTTCCCGCGAGCGCCCGGCCCCCGCCCGACCCGCGGGCCCACAGGCCTCCCCGGGCCCGCACCGGGGCCAGCTGCACCCCGGTTCCACGCCGCCCCACGGGCCCCAGGTGCTTTGGGGGGCAGCCGCCCGGCACCCCCGCCGGCGCTGAGACCTGGGGTGCCCACAGCGCCCTCGGCACAGACGGCTGCGGCCGGGGCAGGGCCAGGCGTTCCTGCCCGCCCCCCCCAACCGTCCTCTCCCGGCCCGGCCGGCACAGCAGGGAAGGGGGCTCGGCCCACATTCCCCGCTGCTCCCCGGGCTGCCTGCCAGCCGCCCCCGGACCCCACCCGTCGGCCGGGCCACCCGGGGAGAGGGGTGGAGGCAAGCCCGGTCGCCTCCTTCCCTCCGGGCAGGAATGAGTTAATGTCTGCACAGCCTGGGAACACCGCGGAGGCCCACGGCCTCCGGGCTCGGGCACGTCTCCCCCGCCTGGGCCTCAGCCCGGGAGGAGGACGCAAGGGCCGCGAGCCGCGCCAGGCGGAGCGCAGCCCCCGGAGCCGCGCCGCCCCCTGGCGGGCCTCCGGGGGAGCGAGGGCGCCCGGGACCCGGCGCCGGAGCCTCGGCCCCGCCCCGGAAGCTGCCCAAAAGGGCCGCGGGTCCGGTTGGCCCGGAAGGAAGTGCTCCCGGGGCGTCGCGACCGCGCCCCCCTAGCTGCGCAGCGCCGCTCTGGCAAACTCCTTTCTACCTTCCTCGCGGGGCTCCCCACCTGCGCGGGCGGCCGCCCCGCCAGCTCCGTCTGACGCTTTTTCTCTGCTGCCCCTGCTCCAGAGTGCCCCGTAACCCTGTGGATTTTTCACCTCAGAGGTGTGAGCCCCCAGGGCCTCCCCTGTGGCACAGGCCGTTGAGCGCCGCGCTGTGAAGCTGCACGCAGCCTCTGCAGCGCCGGTTCGACCCGGCCGGCCGGCGAGGGTCCCACAAGGCAGACCTCTCCTGTCGTGCCCACTGCTCCCCTCAGCAGTGTGTTTCAGTCAGTCTGCCTGTTCTGCTCCCCGCTCTGTGGTGAATCCTCTCACCCTCCACCGCATCTGGCCTGTACCCCAACTCTTGTATAAATAAATCTTAAAAAAAAAAAAGTGTGTGCTCCTGCCTTTGAAGGGTAGAGAAATACCGCTCCTGAATGCCAAGTACTGTGCTAGCTGCTTCATTTCACCCCCAGAATATGAGTGTCCATAGTATTGTGCCTTTTTTTCAAATGAGGAAATTCAGGCAGGGGAGACGAAGGACTTTGCCTTGGATTACAGCGCAAGCCCGGCATAGGCGTCTGATGCCAAAGCCCCTTTAACAGCCCACTCACTGTAATGTTGAAGGCTGGAGACCGTGGCTCCTCTGTCCTGCACATCCAACCAAACTCCCCCAAGGCAGGATCTTCCTCACTCAGATCCTGTCTTGTCTCCCTGCTGTCAGGCCACAGTGAGAATCCCTGCTAGGTTCTCTCCTCGTTTCTTAGTAGAACACGTTCCTGAGTTCAGCCGCTGCTGTTCCTCTACTCCACAGCTGCTTGCCTACTCTGGTCCTAGAAAAGTCCTCTCCCTGACCACTTAATTCTTTCCCAAACAAGTCATTAAGTTCCTTACTTCTTCAGTTTCACCATATATAAAACTGCTATGTGTGTAATTATTGGGGGTGGGTGGAGAAGTGGAGAAATTTGTGTCACTACTACAAGTGGAAACTGTGGCTTTCCATATTCAAGATGGCTGTAAAAAATATGTTCAAAGCATAATGCTTTAAATGAAAATCCTGTGCCCTCCTAAAATCCTGCCTCATTGATCTCACCTGGTACCTGAGCATCAGATACCACTCTGGAGACCCTTGTGACCTGTTATCCCTGTGTGTTGAGCCACCAGAGTGTACAGTGCACACACACCCTCCCCTCCCCATCCCTGACTTGCATCCCTCCCTGATATTCATTCACTACCTTTTCTGAGCATCTCCTCTGCACCAGGCCTGTGTCAGGTGCTGGGGATACAGTGGAGAAAAGCCACCACAGCTCGACCCTCATGGAATTCAGAGTCAGAGGGGATGGTGCAATCAGCACTCAGGGCCTGTTTACTGGAAACCCTCTGTGGTTATTCCTATAGACCATCACTCATGGGACCTTCGCTCCCATCTGGGAAAATACCTGCCAAAGAGCCCTTAGGTTCAGTGACAAGGGGCAGGCAGGGGCAGGTAGGGTGCAAGTCAGCTTGAGAATTGGGGAACCTAGGGGAACAGGCTCAACTTTGCCTAGGAAAGTGGGGGGCTGAGCCCTCATCCCTGCAAGGGGCCATAGGTAGTGATGAGAATGGGTATCAGTGCAATGGAACAGTAACCAGTGAGCTCAGCCACCAGCACACCCTATGCGGCCACTCTGCAGCCTGCCACCTATGCTCTCCATGCCTCCACTTATCTGGCCCACACTGAGGAAATCAGACACCAGACAGGTTGGGAAGCTTGCCCAGGGGCATGCAGTGATGCAGTAGGTCTATCCAAAGTCCATGGCATTTTGATTTTAGCTGCCTGTCCTCTGGCTTAAGCCAGACCCAGTCTTCTGGAGGAACAAGCTCCCCCCCCCAATCCCCCAACCCTCTGTTCCTTCACCTTGAGCCTGGAAATCCCCAGCCAGGAAGCTCCTCTTCCTAAGAGCTGGGAGTCTCTATCCCTGTCAGGCACTGCCCACCTGTCTTCCCAAGACCAAAAGAAGGGTCCTTAGGATTTTGGCTCACAGTTGGGGGAAGGAAGGCTGAGATCACTGGCAGGAACTTGTTCGCCACCATCCTTCTGGGGGTGGGGTTGTGGCTTCAGAGCTGACCTTGGAGCTCATGGCCAGCCTAGCTGGCCTTCCCTCCCATACTGCCTTCTTACCTGGCTGGTAGACAGAGGGTCGGATGCTGGCAGTGGTGACAACCCGGGGTTTGGGTGCAGGGGCAGCTGGGGCCTCACTGTATGTATGGGCAGCAGGTGTGGGAGAGGTCACAGCAGCAGGGTTGTAGGCAGAAGCCTGGGGCCTGGAACCAAGGGGGAAGAGTTAGCTGCCAGAAAGACAGCCCATCCAGTCCCTGGGGACTGCACCTATGGCAAGTTGACTCCTCATCTTCTGGAGCCTCTGTGAGCAGAAAACCTAAGAGCAGTGTTCCTGGGAGGCTGCCAGAGGCTGGAAGGAAAGACCAAGGGTCCATTGGGCAAAGAAAGCTGCTCCCTGGGTAGCTGAGTCTTGGTGAGTCTTAGAGCAGCAGAGACACTGCAAGAAGCATGGCCTGTTGCTGGTACCTCTACCTTAAGAGAGAGGGAGGAAAGCCACCAAGTAAACCAGAGAATCCATGGAAAAGCCTCTACCCCAATGGTGTGAGACTGTCAAGGTGAGGCTGGGGCTGGAGAGGGCAGAGGCAGGAGAGAGCAAAGAGAAAGAGATGTCAGAACTACCCCACTCCATCAATCTTCTGATCTCTTGGGGCACTGCACAGCGTCAGACTACCTGGCCTCTTCCCCCCTCCCCCTTTCTGTTATGGCTGGAGGGAGCAGCAAAGCCTCAGATGTCTGGGAAAGAGTACTAGGAGGGATGGGAAGCCAGGAATCCCTCCAACACCTCCACACACATACACACACACACACATGCACGCACGCATACAAGCGTGCACATACATGCACACATTTTTCTTCTGTATAGAATTCCTGTTGCCTGGGCCTCCCTGGTGGCACAAGGGGTTAAGCACAGCACTATGAAACTGTCTGCAGCCTCTGCAGCATGAGCTCGATCCCCAGATGCCAGGGAGCTACCCACATGGCGCAGCAGACCTCTCCTGTCTCACCTGCTGCTCCCCTCAGCAGTGTACTTTGGCCAATCTGCCTGTTCTGTTCCCCACTCTGTCTCTTTTGAATCCTTCCACCCCCTGTGCCTCTGGCCTGTACCTCAGCTCTTATATGCATAAATAAATAAATCTTTGAGGGAAAAAAAATTCCTGCTGCCCTCCTCCATCAGACTAGCTGCTAAGAGGCCTAGAGCCGCCGTTTCCTACTTGTGATCAAGGGATCAAGGGACCAAATAAATTGGGCCGGGGCAGTATCCCAGTTAACCACCTTCGGGAAATGCTGCGCTTGGCTTGTCCTCTTAGAGAGCTAGCGTCTCCAAGACCTGCAGAGTTAAGCAGCCTCCTGAACTCTGTCTGGCCTAGTGTTTCCCAATTTCATTTGTCTGTGAAATTGCACACCTGCCCTGTTTCTTTCACCTGAAACTAGTGAATACCTTTGAGAACACATCCCGGCCTCTTCCTGCATCTTTCAGATTCTAGAAGGGACCACATGACCAGACCCAGGGTAAATGGGTCCTGGGGGTTGCTGAAGACTGTTCCCCTCCCACCAGTCCATGGCTTCCTGCTTATCTTCCACCTGAGGCCAGGCCCAGGGGGAGAAGGGACATTCAGACCTGTTCTGCTAAGTTGCCATGTTCTGGTTGAGTGAGGTCATTGTCTCCTCTCTCTGGGCTTACCTGCCTTCTCTGATAACCCACTGTTAAGACCAGTGAAGAAGGGGCCTCAATGAAGAAGAAGAGGCAAGGTCCATGGGTGCCCAGCTCCCACTGTGAAGGAGAAGACCTGAGGCTAGTGGCTCTAAGTCAGATTCTCCCACCAGTGGAGGATGCCAGGTGCTATAGCTGCTGTGGCAGGGATTGGCATTGGGGGAGGGGGAGGCTGAAGACAGTCAAGTATTGTGAGCCCATGCTTGGGTGTCCCTGTGCCTCCTTCCCTGCTTCCTCCAGCTCTAGCCCCAGCCCAGGCCACGTGCCAGGAGAGAAGGGCCCAGAGTGTGGTCACCTGGTGCCTTCTATTTCAGTCTGTAGATGGGAGCCTTCTGGGACCCTTTCCAACCTCCTTCAAGACCTCACCAGTTTTGACGAGACAAAGCAAAGGATGTCCTGAGGACTCAGGACACTGAGCCCTGGGGCATGGTGCTGGAGGCTGCCCTTAAACCTAGAGTTCTCCCATCCAACCTGGGGAGGCGACCTCCTACTCCACAACATTTCTTGCCCTCTGAAAAATTCTGGTGTGCAGAGAGGAAGCAGTTTGTAAGTGACCCAGGAAGATGAATTAAAACAACCCATGGAGGCCTCAGGCCTGCCTCACCCAGACTTGAGTTGGGCTGGCAAAGGCTGGGTCATTGTGAACCACAGAGATCTGTGGGCCACTTTGCCTATCCTTTGTCCCATCTTAGGCTACACCACAGACATATGTACCCTGTCCCAGGGAGGCATGAACTCTCCGGGAAAATCCTGGCAGGGGAGTGTGAGAGACTAGGCGAAAGCTGGCTCTGACCCCAGTACCACACAATTCAGAAGGAGCTGGGCCACCCGGCCTGTTACACTGCTTCCTGCTTGCTCCAGAATGACATATCCAGCCTGTCTGACCAGCCTGCCCCTCTACTTCTCTGCCCCTCCTCACATCCTCTTTACCACCCCACCCCACACCTTTGCAGGTATCTAGGAGGGCAAGTCAGAAAGCAGTAACTCACAATACTTGTGAGCTTTTTCACGTGCTGCTGTTATAGCTGCACTCTTTCTATCCTGACTGTATAAAAAAAGACCTCATACCAAACATCTTAGCAGATATGGAAACTGAGGATCAGAGAAGTTAAGCCACTTTCTGAAGGTGGAACAGAGATTTAAACCCCACTGCACCAGGTGCCTCTAGAGTTATCTTGCTTCTCTGTCAAGAGGAGAGAGCGTTAGGGAAGAGGGCAAGTTAGTGGCTAAATTCTATCTGACCAAATCTGACTACCTTCTGTGCTGGGTCAATTCTGTCTTCTCCAAGGAGACTTTCTTGACTCCCCCAGTCCTCAGTCTCCCTAAGGAAACTTCCAGAATACAAACTTTACAGTTTCCTTTTGTTACTTCTCTTTTTCTGTGAATATGACTTTAAGCTCTCTCATGAGAGCATGTGCCTCTGGGTGGGGGGCAGGGTGATACACACCTCTCTGCCTCTGTCTTCAGCCACACATGTGTGCTCCCTGGAAACACACCCCCAGTTTCTCCTTCACTCTCAAAACCAAGCAGTGCTACCCTTGGCTTCCCTGGTCTCTCGGCCCTAACCACCTTGGTTGAGCCTTTCTGGGGTGTGGACACAGCTGTTGACAGATGTGCCCAGGGCGAGGCCTTTTCTGCCTCCCTTCTCCATGGTCGGGGCTGGCACCTGTCAGCCTGTTACCTTGGACTCTCCGCAGGGCTTGAGGCAGGGGCTGCAGCAGAGGCGGTGGCAACATGGGTAGCAGCTGTAGCCAGGGGTGGCGAGGTTGTGCTGGGAGAGGCAGCAGCAGGCGGCTGGGCAGAAGCAGGCAGCAGTGGGGTGGCGGCCTGGCTGGTACACACTGGAGCATGCTCAATAGGGGTGCTGATGAGGCGGACCAAGAAAGACAACAGGTCAAGGGGCCTTTCTGCATAGGGCGGTAGCTGCAGCAGAGGCACTGGAGGGCAGACACCATCCTACTGCAGAGCAGGACCTTCCAGAAGGCATGCCCCCAAGCTCAGGGAAGGACCCCCACCCCCACCCCAGAACCTCTGGAGGGCACAGATCACAGGGAGGACTGTGGTAAGATAAAAAACATTCTTTGGAGTACTCCCCACCCCATTTTTGTGTACTTCCTAAGTTTTTTTTTCTCGGCATATATTATAAAAAGACAATATGAAAAAAGAACAATGATGTTAGAAAGTAAATAAAATTTAAAAAATAATAATAGAAACACAGGGTGGTGGAAACTGAATTATCAATCAAGTTTCTTTCATCTTGTTTCCCTTTTCCTTCTGCCCTTCTCAAATTAGCCAGTAGCAGGCATTGCCTTTGGAAAGCAATAGTACAACGAAAAAAACAAAAGCTGTTTGAGTGTCAAGGGCTTTGGCTCTGGAGTTGTGAGAGCCTGGGCTTTAAGCTCTGAAGCAATCAGGGTATTAACAGTGTATTTGAAGATGGGTGGAAGCTACATGCTTGGCAGATCAAGGTGATCTGGACCAGAAAATGGACAATGTGGCATGGTGCATTCAAGAATAGTGGATGCCAAGACAAAGGGCTGGGTACCCACAGGCCCTGCCTGCCCGCCTTGGCATTCTGCAAACTCCTCTTCTCCAGAATCACCCCAGGCAAGAGAGGAACATCAGAGCCTGGGTCAACGTGATTAGATGCCCACCACCTGGCAGAGAATAAACATTAAGTTAAAGAAAAGCAAAGAAAGGCACATTCTTTGCCCAGGTGGGTCACTGGACTAAAATCTGCATTTTGCTACAACAGCAACAAGATACTGCAGCTCCTACGAAAGAGAATGCCTTTCCCCATGCTGTGTCATTCATTTAGTGACAGTGTACCATGTGCTAGGCGTATGTCTTAAATTCCCCACCACAGCCCATTTTGTGGGTATTATTGACTCTATGTACTAAATGAAGGAATGAAGACCGAGGTAATTCAATTGCTCAAATTCTTGAAACTTATCTGTAGTGACAGCAAGATCTGACTCAGGACTGGAGGGCCATCTGGATTTGGAGTCTTAACTAGTGCCCCAAGTGGCCCCATCTTGCAGGAAACTTTTTGTGATCGGTCAAATAGAATCTTTTCCCAACAAAAGACACTGTTCTTATTTGAAATAATTAGAATCACTACCTTTCCTCCATGAGTGCTGACCATCTGTTAGGCCTTGTGCTAAGCAGCTGGATCACTTTACTCCATTACTCCATTTGATTCTTTGAACCTCCCTGAGTGATTGGTATCATGATCCTCATTTTGCAGATGAGAAACCTGCAGCCCAGAGAGAATTGAATCTCTGCAAAAACATCACACAGCTGCCAAGTGGCAGAGAAGGGTGTGTCCTAACCACTAGGACACTTCCCAGACTTTAATATGCAGATGAATTGCCTGAGAATCTTGTTAAAGTGCGACTTCCACTTCAGTAGGTCTGGGGTTGGGCTGAAAGTCTACATTTTCACAAACTTCTAGGTAAAGCTGGTGCTGCTGGCTCATGGACCACACTTAGA